CTGGCCCCAAAAATCCTCAGTTCTGCCCCCAAAATCCTCAGTTCTGCCCCCAAATCCCCAGTTCTTAGGAACAAAATTCCCCACTTCGGTCCCCAAAAATAAAACTCAGTTCAACCCCGAAACTCCTCAGTTCCACCCCAAAAATGCTCGGTTCTGCCCCCAAAATCCTTCATTCTGCCCCATAAGTGCTCAGTTCTGCCTCCCCAAACGCTCAGTTCTACCCCCAAAAATGCTCTTCTGCACCAAAAATCCCCATTTCTGCCCCCAAAATCCTCAATTCTGTCCCCAAAACACTCAGTTCTGCCCCCCAAAACTCTCAATTCCACACCCCAAAATTCCTGAATTCTCCCCAAAATTCCTGAATTCTTCCCCCCACCCCCCCAAAAAAAAGATCTGCAATTTCAACCCCCCCAAAATTCCAGAATTTCACCCCAAAAATCCTCAATTCCACCCCCAAAATGGGATGGCTGTACTGGGATGGCCTTACTGGGAACAGGGTGGCCATACTGGGAAGCCAATGGGATGGCCATACTGGGAACAAGGTGGCCATACTGGGAAGCCAATGGGATGGTCATACTGGGAACAGAATGGCCATACTGGGAACGGGATGGCCATACTGGGAAGCCAATGGGGTGGCCATACTGGGAATGGGATGGCCATACTGGGAATGGGATTGATCATACTGGGAACAGGGTGGCCATACTGGGAAGGGGGTGGCCATATTGGGAGGCCAATGGGGTGGCCATACTGGGAATGGGATGGCCATACTGGGAATGGGATGGCCATACTGGGAACGGGAAGGCCGTTTTGGAATCAAATGGGATGGCCATACTGGGAACGGGATGGCCATACTGGGAATGGGAAGGCCATACTGGGAAGCCAATGGGATGGCCATACTGGGAATGGGTTGACCATACTGGGAATGGGATGACCATACTGGGAATGGGATGACCATACTGGGAAGCCAATGGGATGGCCATACTGGGAATGGGTTGACCATACTGGGAATGGGTTGACCATACTGGGAAGCCAATGAGGTGGCCATACTGGGAACCGGATGGCCATACTGGGAAGCCAATGGGATGGTCATACTGGGAACAGGAAGGCCATACTGGGAATGGGATGGCCATAC